TTTCATTCAGAAGGGTAGGCAATGGCAACTATATTTTCAGGTGGGTCTGCTTAAATTTGAATAATATTTTTTCTGTTGCTGCTGACTGATCACATGCTTTCAATGTAAATTAATTTTATACCACTTTAGTGTGCTTTTAACGACTTCCATTGCCATATGGCCTTCTCTACAACATTGCATTTTGCTTCTGTAAGACCAACAGGAAAATAACTGTTGCTGATTTTTGCCTCTTTTAAGAGCTTGTCTGCTCATGTCAGGCCCACTCAGAATAATCTCTTTTTGATTAACTAAGAGACAACTGAATAGGAACCTTAATTACACATTTTTAAATCTCATTTTGATATGATGTGACATAATCACAAGAACAATATGAAATCATAGACCTTGCACTCAAGGGGAGGGATTATATAGGTCTTATCACCAGGACAAGGATGTTTTGGGGGCAATCTTCCCAGCACACCAAATGGCAGGATGAAAAGTTAAGTCCAGTACTACTAGAAATCATAAAATATAGAAATAATTACACACATTCTATACTGCTAAGGTAATAAAATTGATGCTATGTGCCAATTGGTTAGGCCAGATGACATCTCAGATCATCTATAACAGTATGCAGAAAAAAGAAATTCCATTTGTGAATTCAAGAATATTTTCTAAACCAACTTTTAAATTTTTTCTCATACCTGATACAGTTTTCAAGCATACAAACATGCCCATAACATAAACATAGTTAATTTCTCTTCTTTGAAATTTCAACTTCTCCTTTTAGCCAGTGGGGTCTGTTGGCCACATGTCCCCTCATTAACCCCAAAAGATGTTATGGCCTGTATTAGTTAACTATTGCTGTGTAACAATTACCCCTGAATTTAGTGGCTTAAAACAACACAGAGTTTCTGTGTACTTCTATGGATCTGAAATCTAATCATTACTTAACTGGGTTCCCTGCTTCAGTCTCTCTCACAGAGCTGCAATCAAGATCTCACTCAGGCAGGATCTGTTTCCAAGCTTACCATTGGCTGTTAACAGGATTCAATACCCTGACAGCTATTAACCTAAAGACCTCTGCTCCTAGCTGGTTGTTGGCCAAGGGCCACTCCCACCTCTGTGTCACATGAGTCTCTCCAACATGGTAGTTCACTCATCAAAGCAAGGAAGAAAGTAACAAGACAGAAGTGATAACATTTTGTAACCTAATCTCAGAAGTGGGATCCCATCATATTTGTCTTATGTAATCATTAGAAGCAGGTCATAGGTTCAGCCTATAATATTGGGGTTCAGGGTTCCCTCAGCTCCTCTGAGAGGCTGTTTCTCTGCGTTCTTGGCCTCCCGCCCTCTCAAGAATGAAAGGGGAGACCATGGCACAGTGCGACGTGAATGCTGGACTCAAGTGTTTGTAGAAAGTGATTTATTTAGAGAGAGAAAAAGGAGAAGGAGAGAGAAAGAAACAGCTCTCACACTGAGTAAGAGAATCTAGAAAGAGGGAATCCAGGAGAGAAAAGCAGCTTGCACTCTGAGTGGAAGGGAATAGAGAGAGAGAGAGAGATGGAGTTTAGGAGGGAAAGACAGGCTTCCACGAGAGTGTGGAAGGGGAACCCAAAGGGGAAATCCAGGAGAGAGAAAGATAGCTTCCACAAAGGGAGTGTTCGTGGAAGGGGACCCAAACATGGAGTCCAAAGGGGTGTGGAAAAGGGGACTTTTAACCTAGAAGGAACCCCCACCTTCTCTAAGATCCCTGGGCAATGAAAGGAGTTCCTTAGAACTTCTGCTGGAGTGATTTACTCTTAGTTTCTTCCTGTGCCCATGAAATTCAAACATAAACTATTAAATCTCCCAAACGGAGAGAGATGGGAGGCAGGCATGGCACTAGGAAATTCTTGCCCTTAAAACTACACCTCCCTGGTGGACCCAGAAAGAGAACACATTCCGTGAAGCCCACACTCACAGAGAGGGGTGTGAACTCAGGAGGGCAAGGATGGTTAGGTGCCATCTTAGAAGTGTGCTTCCCACAGTGCCTGAATGAGGACCATTCATCACACTGAGGAGAAACAAATTAAAGTGTTTGTTTCCAAGAAATTAAATAAAAGCTGCTATGATTACATTTACTTATTCAGAGCCAAAGCAACCAAGCTTGATGGGACTGGGTTCATAATGGGAGTGGTTAGCCCTTGTCTGAGGAGAGAGGGCAAATGGAACCCAAAGATGTGAAGCTAAATCAATATCAGAGGAGTGACATTAAGTACCAGGTCCAAGGTATGAGTCTGAGACGTTGGATGAGAGAAGAATAAAAGGCCAGAAACCCAGAACTACCAAGTCAGTATAGAAGCAAAATATCAGACCAGATATAGCAGAAAAGTTCAAGAAGAAAGGGGACTCCTGACTTTAAAGACATAAGGTTAGGGTTTTCCTCTCGATTATTGATTGAATGGTTAGGAAGGACTGCTGTATTTTTGCTTTACATTCAAACAAATAGAAAACTTATTGATTTAGTGAAAACGTTGAAATTCAGAAGTACTAGTCCAAATAAAACTAAAAGTCATCAAAATACTCATTTTAGCAAACACGAGATTATACATTTTCTTGCAAAATGCATAGAATATTGTTTTATATCAACTGATTTTATTTTCTAATAACATTTACAGTATGAAGCAGCATTTTACACCAGATGCTGTGGCTACACCTCAGAATAATCCACCTCAAAACACCTACTGGTGAAGTCACCATTGGCTTCTCCTTCTGGTTTATTTTTAACATTTCCTTATTTTGACTGTAAGAAGCTACTTTCCATGAAATTCAACAAATAATATAATTTAGAAAGTACAGTATCCTTCCACAGTATTTTCAAAAGTGGTGATTTCCTTGCTTTTAAAATTTTATTTTTCAATTTTTTACTTGCCACATAACTATGTAATAGAACTAAAGACTTATTGAAAACAAAGAACCACTCATTTATAGTAAAAGAAATCTAGTTATACTTAATTCTCTTTTTGCTTGCCTCCAAGTATAATTTCTACTAGATTACAGAAGTAACCAATTATTTTCATCCACGTTTCCCTTCATCTGCCTGGAAACTAACTATTTTAACTCTTATTTTGAGAGTTTAAATTTATTTTTATTTCATTTTTAAATAAATTTATTACCTCCTCTAATCTTAGATCATTTAATTATAATTCTTCTTAAACTTTGTTTTATTTCTATTTTTTAGATAGAAATACAGTTTAAAGTACCTGTGGGAAAATATATACCTCTCTGTATATATTGACCTATAGCACCATTTGTTTAGCTTTCATTTATATTAGCAGACAACTGAATAACCGCTAATAAATCAGTATGCAGCAATTTAAATGCTTATTAAAATTTGCCAATCAGAAACAGACTCCCAGCTTTACTTATTCAGAAAGGGCTGACATTTTCTTGCCATACTGTCTACTAAAGATAAGGCATGCAGTTTCAGATTAAATTAAACATGGCATTTCTGTATATTTGGGTTATCTTTTATTGTTTTTGAAAAAGCAAATCATTCTAAGAACTTATCCAAATTTTAAAGGTTATGATTTTCAGGGTATCAAAACATTTTGCAAAGTATTTTCTTTAACAACCTACCATGGTATGTGAAATGTAGGCACTTGTGATTGTTACGGGCTATTAAAGCTGGAGAGAGAGAGAGAGAGAATATAGACATAGGTGTGTATTGCATCACTGAAATAAAAATGCTTCTGATAGCTTATCAGACCAAGGCCCTGAAGTGTTATACAGATAAACTCACGATTCTTGTGTGTCTTTGTGTGTATTTATATATGTGAGTTTTGGGTTAGGGAGTGAAAGAACTAGGAAATTATGTGCCTCAAGGAAGGGAGATCAGGAATGGAGAAACAAAGTGTACTCACGGGAAGCCTGAGTAACAGATGGGGATGATGGTACTAGGACAAGGTCATGACACAGGGAAGGGTGTCCGAATTTAAACCATATCTGCCCTCTAATGTGAGAAGCATCCAGGATATGTTAATTTAATTTTAATTCTTCAGTGGGTTATGCCTAAAAATTAAAGGAGGATTTAAGAAATAAAATGCAACCTTGAAATAACTTTTCTTTATTGGGTCCTAATAAAGAGTTTCAAATGGCACTCTCTATTAGTGACAAATCACACACATGTTCATTGCTACATTTCCAGAGTCTTGATATTTGCAACTGCCAAAAATAATCAAATAAATAGTCCTTTTTCTTTCTAGGAAGAAATTCTTCTAAATTTGGAAGGCAATTCCCTAAAGAGTTTATGCTGTTGAGAGAAAATTTGTGAAGAAAAGAGTCTATTAGTTAATTTTTAAATGTTGTCAATAATGTTGACTTGCAAGACCAGTTTATCATTTATTCACTACGTGAAAAGTACTTGACCTCATCTAAGTTTGCAACTGGCCAAACACAAGGTCAGGAATGAAGTTAAATGTATCAGCATCATATTGCCTTCTTGTCTTATTTCTCCTTTCCTCTATTCTTTTGACCTCTTATGCCTTCTGAAGTGAATGAGGTAACAATTCAGATGCTGATTGCTTGTGAAAAGGGCATCTTTATTCATTGAGACAATGCTTCTAAGCTTAGAATCAACTCCAAATCAAAGAAAAGGGTAAGACTGTAAAATATTTGAGTACTAGTGAGTCTTCATACATATTGCTTTATGAGTGATCGCTTACGTCACCCATATGGAAAGCCAATTCTAGGGAGTGTATTACATTCTTGGTTCACAGAACAGATGATTATTTAAATTTTAAATTTAATAAGGAAAACTTCTTACTGTTTTATAATCAATTTGATCTATGGAAGGGTTCTCTCTCCTATGTCAATTTATATAAAGGACTCTAATAAGACATGGAAAATAACTAGTATTAAATTTCTTAGTATTTCCTGTGGCTCATTTGAGGGAGAGGTATGGATATTGCAAGAGGGAAAGAATTTGGAAAGGGCAAAGGCTTGGAAATTAACCATATTATGCCTTTTTATTCTCCTAGGGTCTCATGATTCCTTCAGCTTCTACATTGATGAAGCCTCTCCAGTAGGTCCTGAACAGCCAGAAACTGTCCAGAATTTTGTCTCTGTGTTTGGAACGGTAGCCAAAAAGCTCATGCGGAAATGGTTAGCCACTCAGACAATGAATTTTACTGGTCAGCTAGGAGCTGGGATTCGTTATTTTGATCTTCGAATTTCCACCAAGCCCAGAGACCCCGACAATGAACTCTATTTTGCTCATGGTTTGTTCAGTGCCAAAGTCAATGAAGGTCTTGAGGAGATCAATGCATTCCTCACAGATCACCATAAGGAGGTAGTGTTCTTGGACTTCAACCACTTTTATGGGATGCAGAAATATCATCATGAAAAACTAGTCCAAATGCTGAAAGACATCTATGGAAATAAAATGTGCCCAGCGATTTTTGCCCAAGAAGTTAGTTTAAAGTACCTGTGGGAGAAGGACTATCAAGTGCTGGTCTTCTACCATAGTCCAGTAGCTCTGGAAGTACCCTTTCTGTGGCCTGGGCAGATGATGCCAGCACCCTGGGCCAACACCACAGACCCCGAGAAACTGATCCAGTTTCTTCAAGCATCCATCACTGAGAGAAGAAAGAAGGGCTCATTTTTTATATCTCAGGTGGTGCTGACCCCCAAAGCTAGCACTGTGGTCAAAGGGGTGGCAAGTGGCCTCAGAGAAACAATCACAGAAAGGTAAGTGTCTTTAAAATATTAGGGGGGAAACCACAAATAATTTAACTTGAATTCATAGAGGTCGTAATTGATGAAGCTAAAATTCACACCTATGTATATTAGCTCCCCAGGGCTACGATAACAAAGTAACACAAATTAGGTATCTTAAAACAACAAAACTGTATTATCTCACAGTTCTGAAGGCTAGAAGTCTAAAATCAGAGTGCCAGCAGGGTCAGTTCCTTCTGAGGACTCCAGGAGAGAATCTATTCCATGCCTCTCTCCTAGGTTCTGGTGGTGGCTGGCAAACCTGAGTGTTACTTGGCTTATACATGCACCACTCCAGTCTCTGCCTCCTTTTTCACATGCTGTTTTCACATGTATCTCTGGTCTTTTCCTTTGCTTATTAGGATACCAGTCGTATTGAACTAGGGCCCACCCTAATGACCTCATGTTACTTACTTCCGCAAGGAACCAATTTCCAAGTAAGGTCATACTCACAAGTAGCAGGGGTTAGGGCTTTAACATATCTTTTTCTAGACCACAGATCAACCCATAACACCATATATTTTAACTCCATGTCTAGTTGTCTTTTCATAGCACTTTTTTCTACATTTGTGTACTGCTTTATAGGTTACAAGATCCCTTCTCTACCATCTGCCGTCTTCTAATATACCTGATTCCATTTGATCTGCATAACAACCCTGAGAAGTAGATATTGTCTTATAGATTTAAAAAATGAAGTTCATAAAAGTGATATCTTTTTCCTAAGACCCCTTCAACAGTGAATTATAACACAGATCCTCAAGCTCTATTCTCAAACTATATCCTATGCCCTTTATACTACATATGCTGCCTCATAAGGAATGCTTATCCCTGAGAAAGTGGTCAGTTCATTGGTCAAGCCCAGCCCAACATTTAGAATGTTCATTACCTGTGAGGTATAATTTGAACAATTGTAGCTTTTTCCTATGAGTGTGACACAACATTCTGAATTGTACATATTATTTATTGAGTTACAATTTTAAACAATGCAAATATCTGAAGAAAGAACACAAATCCTTATCAGATCTCTTTTTATCTTTGACATTTTGAATTACACTAGAGACACAGCATGAATGTTTTGCTAGGACTCAAGGTCTTTTTGGAAAAGACAAAAGATGAAGAGAAATAATTTGGCAATAAAAATAGTATGGGTGACCTTGTGGCATAGCATGTAGGGTGGGAAATGAATGGAGATAAAGCTTAGAGTGGCACAAGAACACATTTTCCAGAAATCTTTTAACCAGGCTACAAATAACCTCCTCCTGTGAGCAATGGGGAGCTAGATAATAAAGTCTAAAAGTAGCATGACTTGACAAGATCTGTGTTTTATGTAATAATTGATGCAGCCTGGAGGATCAATGGAATGGAGAGAGAGAGCAATTAATAGGTGCTTAGAACTGTTTCAGCAAGATGATACAAGCTAAACTGAGAAAGTGAAAAAACACAGAAGGGGATAATATGGAAGCAGTGGAAATTAAAATGATCTGGTGACTAGTTCACTGTGTGATATTAATGGGAGACAAGAGTTACAGATAAATGGGACAGGTAATGGAAGCATTCACAGAGTCAGTAAACAAAGGCACAGGGACTTGGGAGGAAGTGGGGAAGGTACCATCAGGATCATGCTGAATTTAAAGCATTGGTAAGGCATTCAAGTAGATATGGCTAATTGATCATTAGAAATATAGGCCAACTCATTTGGGGGTTGTTGGCGTTTCTTGGTGGTGAAAACTCCAAGTCATTGGAGTGGAAATGTTCCTCCATATAAAATCATAACTTTCTTCTGTTATTCAAAATGGTCCATTGGCCAGGACTGCTCTGTTTCTTAAAATTTAAATAACATTATCAACCATTCACTGTGTACTCTGTGAAAGCATATGGCTTTCTCTATGATTTCTGCTAATGTCTACATTTCTTAGGAGCTCTTGCTACTGCTGGATTACATCATTTTATGGCTCAATTGTCCCTGATAGTCTGTCCATGTCTCATTCTGAAATATGAAACTTGCTTCATGCTCATTTCCACAGTGGTTTTTAAATTTTACTGAAGATCTGAAGAGGCCAGGAATGTTTTATAATCACAATAATGTATATAATTTAAAATCAAATTTTAGATTTGTCTTTAATTACAAGTCTTCTGTCGTGGGACAACAACCCCTGAAAACATCTAGAACACTGTATACCTCAGCCTCACATCCTTTGACTGAATCTTCTCCTTCTTTATCATTTTTCACCTCGTTTTTTTCTTTACCCTTAGATTGCCTTTGAGACCCCACATTCTGGATTATTATGTAACTAGATTAACATTTCTAGATGATTATGACTAACTAGTCACCTCTCTCCAGCTTCCTAACCCTAAATTCAGCTAGTTCCAACAAAGTGTTCATAAAAACAAGAGGGCTTTTTGCTTTATAGCACCATTTTCTACAAATATTATTTTTTCTGTTAATTAACAGTTTACCCCCTTTCTCACAAACTTAGAAAGTGAGGGAGTTGTGTGTGTATAAGAATTGTTTTTAACTGTATCCCATACAGTCCCCAGATTTTGAAAAATCTCAGGAGCCTGGGAAGGAACTTACTCCAACTCCCTCCATTCTCTCCATACCTTGAATGAAAGAAACTTCATTTTAAAACTTTTATATTTGGGCATGATGCAAGTCCTCCTATGACCTCTTCCAGCTTCCAGCATAGTTCTATGCTTAGGAAAACACTCATATTAAATGCTTGCTTTGCATTTTAGCCAAGAACTGTACTCTCATTTTGCCTGTGTAGAGATCATCCTTTGAAGAAGCCAAAAAGAATTTATTCAAAGATAAATCATTTTCATTTTTTTTCCTCTTATGGCATTTGATGTAATTTAGAAGTTTTCAAGTCATAGTTAAACTGCTTTTTGGTTACTCATGCTCTAGTACACTACTACTAAAGTAGGATTTGTGGGGGAAAAATCAGTCAGGAAGGTGCTGAACATTATATTCTATACAACTCTCCCAAAAGATTCACAGTATAAATTAGCATATAAAAACACACTAAGGAATATTTTAGTGATGAATCCTATTTAAATTTAACTAATACAATGTGTTTCAAGCACTTAAATTTTGTTCAGATAACACTTATTAACAGAACATGGAATTAATTTTTAAAAACCGCTCTCAGTCCTTTAATTCAGAACTTCTCACTTGCCTCTAGCTTATACATCTGGAATAGTAGAGCTGCATCATTGAAAAAAAAGGGAGAAGAAAATGGAACATTGAAAGTAGAAATGAAGACTCCATATATAGAACCAACTTTTTCCTCTATAGGATTCTGCAAATTACGTACAAATAATTTGCAAATATATCCGAACCTTGTCATTATAGTTGTGCTGGCATTCTCTAGTGGAGTTTAGTCTCAGAAGTACTAGAAAGGCTTTCTTTTTAACCATTTACAAAGCTGTATTCTGAATGCTATATTAATGTGAAACTTAGTTTTTTGTTTTGTTTCAGTTTGGTTATTGGACATACTCTAGCCTTCTGCATGGAGCCTATAGGAAACGCTTATTGTCAGTTCTGGGATCATGCCTTGCAAAGGCAATTTATTAATACTTATTACTTATTTATCAAAGAGGCAGTGAAGGAGCACTCGACTCCCCAGAACTTGTTGGCTTTCTCTTTTTACCAAGTGATGAAGCCTATGAAGTGAACTGATTCTGGCATTGTCCTCTTTGCTTTTGTGCAAAAGCCATTTGTTCATAAAGTCCTATGTTGGCACCAAAAGGCATAGTAAATTCCTCTGTGCCATGAAAGGAAAGTTACCAGGCAATTATAAAATCACACTGGGCCTTACATATTTTCATCTGCAAAATTTGGGGTTTGAGCTTGATTACCTCCAAGATCCATTTCAGTTCTAAAATCCTGCAGTTCTAAGATCTTGTATTTGACTAGCTAGTTTCTCTACAATTTTTAAAATAATATCTAATATTTGGGGTAGGAAAACTCTGAGCACATGCATTTAGAAAACAGTGTTTGAAGTTGTGAGTGGCTTTCAGGGAAGCTAAATCCAGCCTGGATTTCGGTACCATAGCTTTCAATCTGGCCAATGGTTCTAAATACTGCAGATTTCATTTTCTACATTTTAGCAATGCCAAAACACACAGATTTTTATTTCTTAAAGATCTATTTTTAATTCTTTTTCAAACACCAGCTTTTGCACCTCACCCCCACGCAACTCACACATTCTTAAAAAGAAGGTGTGCAACTTGAGTAAAGTCCTTTCCTAATTTGTGGAAGTTTATTAACTTGTAGGTTTTTTTAATTTAAATAATGCAGTCATGCTACCTGTCAGAATTTTTAAGCAGCAATTCTGCAAGTAAAGTGATGCTGAGTTAAATTAGAAAATATTCATACAGGCCAACAATTTAGATAATGATTAATATAATAATAATAATGGTTATAGTTATTAAGGGCTATTTTAAGGATTCCCTATCTGTTAGATCCTTTACTGTTCTATATACATGATTAGGTTCAATATTTATAAAACCTCTAAGTGTAGGTTCTATTGCCATCCTATCTTAATAATGAAGGGACTCAGCCTTAGAAGTGTTGAGCAACTTAGCTGGATAACAGTTAAGAAAAGGTGCGTTCAGGATTTAAATCCAGGCTGCTTCTTCTGTTCATTTATTCACAAAAGCAAACATTTAAATACCTAATCTGTTCTAGACACTGTACTTCAAGTGACTGATCTCAGATATGAAGTCTTATAACCATTATATCATACTCTCTCCCTGCTATCTGTGAGAATCCAAAGAAGTGACTACAACTTTTTCATCTTATTAAATGACAATATCTAGATCAAATTTGACAGAACATTCAGGTAGACTGAGTTCAATTTAGTAGTTATCTGTTGAACGGCTCCTATGAGTTCTGCATTAAGTGCTGTGAGGGATATTAAAATTGGTATGTGTTATTGTTCCCATCAAGCATCACATAGGTTTGAAAAGGC